TCAGCCTTTATATAATGTACCACGAAAGTCTTAAACGGGAAATGTGCGTCTTGAAAGTGTCCTACTTTTTTATAGGCACATTCAGTCATTATTCTGTATTTCAATAAACTCAAAAGTGTTATTATAATTAATTTTTCTTTTTTAATACTTTAGTGGTGCCTCGAAGACAGTAAGAATGACAATGACACATGGCTATTTTACAGTCACCAAAAGTCTAATTAAATGCGTAATAGTTTTAGTGTATTCTTTTCTGTGGTCCGAGAAATAAAAGAGGTGTTGACCTTATAATATTCTAGAGGAGAATATTACAAAACTTTATATTATTTAGTTTTTCAATTATTTCTAATTATCTAAATTTTGTTTATATAGGATAATTTTCCGTGATATAAACGTTTTATTAATGATTTAAATACATTAGGCTTAATTTTTTTTTGGTTTCATGACTTAAATGACCCATAAATAAATATGTTTATTATTAAGGTCACTAATAATAATATTAAAAATAAATATAACTTAATATAAAATAAACTTTAATATAAACTTAAAATAAAAATATAACTTGTTTGGTCGTGTCAAAGCAGATTTGGCGGTGAGTGTCGGTTTTTCCTCATCATGAACGTGACCTACCCCATACACGAAACGATCGGTTTGTCGATTAGTTGAAATTAAAATTTTGAAGTTCCGTGTATGGCAAATTGTAGATTGTCGATTTGTTTATCAATTTCTATAGTTCAGAAGGATGACCAAGTTTGGTATAATAGCAGTATTACCACGTTGGTTTATCAATTACTCCATGCACGTGTTTATACATGTATCAACCTGTTTATCAATCGACCAGTCGATACTTCCAAAACATCAATTTGTCAATCGTCCACTTGTTGACAAACATTACTACATACCTATCAATTTATCTGTCAATATTAAATTTGTCAGCAAATCGACAAACCGATCGTTTCGTCTATGAAGGCCTTAACCGGTTTTTACTGTTGGGCTAGTGTGTGTACGTGCTCTCCTTCTAACGTTCTCATATGCTCCGGATGAGCGTAATTGCAGTATAATTTCACACATTGTTTGTGTTATGTGGCATCTAGTAAGAACACAGTTGATTGCGTCGGGCTCAACTGTGTAATTCATTATAGGTAATTGTACAAAAAGTGTTGGTAATATTTAGCAAAGTAGATGCTTAATGGATTACAACCTGCCCTTAGTTCAATGACCATAAAAACATCGTGACATTATAATTGTATTGATTAGTATTATGATCATTAATTGATTGTTACGATACAGATAAGATCTACTAACATTAGTTATAAGTAGATTATGTGTTATTTATATTAGAAAAATATCAATAAAAACTCTAGAGTCATACAGTCCAAAAAATTTTATTTGAATATCCTTTTATACAGTTTTGATATTAAATTTATGAACTATACTTATTTTATAACAAAAANATTAGAAAAATATCAATAAAAACTCTAGAGTCATACAGTCCAAAAAATTTTATTTGAATATCCTTTTATACAGTTTTGATATTTAATTTATGAACTATACTTATTTTATAACAAAAAAAGACAAGACTTCACTTGGCGAATAGTCGTCGAGTAGTCGCGTCTTATATAACTAATTATTAAACCAATTCAATACATAAATAAATGCGAAACAGTGTGTACGTGGCGTAGTTAGGACAAATATATATGATATCTGACAGTGATTAAAATCACTATCATAAGAAACGTTTCGATGAAAATCTGTAAATAGTGTTTAATTTAAAAAAATTGGTGAATTATTCCAAAAGCAAAAATGAAGTCCTATTTCCTTATTTATATCTTGATTACAAGTTTGATTATGTATAAATATAATATGTCAATACATATTTAATACATTTGTTCAAATTCGACGGCCTTACACACATAAAAGATAATTTTTTTTTAAATTTACAGTACGTCGTACACTATGTCAACTTGAAACAGGCAATCGCACACGGACTGCAAGTCGATTAAGTATATTCATCGTACCTAAAGCTATTATCTATGATATTAATATGTTTGTCATACAGGTGCACCGCGTTTTAGAGTTTGAACAAAGTGCTTTGTTGTAACCGTACATTGAGTTCAACACTGAAATGCGGAAACAGGCAGCGAATGCTTTTCAAATAGCATTTTTCAAATTAATGAATATTATTAAAATCTTTTGTAATTGTTAGTGATAGTCCATAAATTCATTACAACACATAGTAAATTCATTAATATTATAAAACATTTTATAAAAAGCCTATTAATACACTTTTTAAATAAAAACTAGAATTGGTATTTCAGTCTTTCACTAAACAGAATAATTAACTATAATATTATAACAATTCAATTAAAATGTACCTATGATAAAAATAGTATTAGTATAGTGTAGTATACAGTTTATAATAGTATTAGTCCATACATTTAAAACAAAATATATTACTGTGACTCTTTTAAAATATTTAGATAACAAAATAAAACTATTTTATGATAATTAAAAATAAATAGGTAGGTTACTTTTTAAAAACATTTTTTTATAATTATATAAAAAACCATATGACTAGAATAATTAAGCTCTGAAATATCCAAAGACGGGTCTTCATCCGTTTTACTTTTTTGGTCATTGATAAATACTCTTGATGATTCCTTGTAGTAATCACACCATTGCGACAAGCTTTTCTAAATCTTTATATTTAAGTGTCAATATAGCAAGTTTTATTTTGTATACTAGATGGATGTAAATCAGAATTTTCAATATCTAAATAAATACTTTGTTTTGCTTCTTTCCTTCATTTTGCTGATACACTTCTCGATTCTCCATGGACTGGTAAATAATAAAACTAAGTGCATGATCTTTTGCTAATATGAGCATTTGTATACTTTCTTTTTACAATTTCAATTAAAACACAGAAACTTAAAAATCTTTCTGCTGTTGGCTATTTAATGCATAATATGAATCAAATATTTGTATCCTAATAATTAAACTAATATCACCACATTTATTTTGGCATATCATAAATAAAAATAGTTTGGAAAAACTGATATTTTCTGCACTTTATTAAATTTTATTGTTTAATAAGGTTTTCCTGATATTCTCTAAGATGAGTTAGAATTATGTTTATTAATGAGTTTTTTAACTCATTTTCCCTTAATTTTGATACATTATACAGTTCACATTCAGTTGGCTTATTCAATCTGTCTCCTATCAATTCTTTAGTAACATTCATAATAACATTATTATTATTAGTAGAAACAGCAATTATAATTGTATTACCATTTTCAATAAAATTACTTTGATTTCCTTCATTGTGATTTGGCTAGGTAACTTTATACAAAAGGAATGTTGCTTACTTAAAGCTGTAAGGTCATACTGCAAATGCAATTTTGTTACCTATGTAACCTAAGTTTGTAATACACAGCCAGTCTAGTCTAATCTATACCCTCCTGTCTGAATGATCAATGTTATTATTAATGCAATATATATTATTATTTACAAATTTCTTATCATCGTATTAATACTAACTTTGTAAAATAATAGACTTTATACTTAGTATAATATAAATCTCTTGATTAATAAATTCTAATTTTAATTAGAATAAGTAGGTATCTCTAAAGATATAAAATGACTTATTACACTGAAAAAAATTAGTAAGTAATATTAAAAAAAAAAGTTCAGAAATAAAATAATTTTGGTTATTGATTTGAACCCGATGACGTGATTATTGATATAACGAAATATTGATTATTAATATTACGTACGGACTTGCCGTAATATTGATAAACAACATCTGTAATATTAATTACCGTTGTTTTTAATACTAAAATATCATGTACGTAATATCAATAACGGTATTATTATAATAAAAACCATTTTTTATAAATATTACAACTAGGATTATTGATTTTAGGTACTGTATTCGTTATATTAATAGCTACGATTGTAATATAAAATACCAGGATTTTAATAGTGACGCGTCTCATTGCACTTCCGCCTTTACCGCTAGATGGCGACTGCGACACAGCTGCCTCTCCTCGTCCGACAGGTCGCGTGACGCCGAGAGACCGCGGGTGACAAGAACCGGCCGGTGATGCATTGTAAAATATTATTATATTACCAACACATTAGTCTGTTGTGACTTCCTCTCGGAAACCGATTTTGTTTTATAGTAATTTAAAATATATGCCAATCAATATTTAGCCACCTCGTTGTTATTTATTTAATAAAAAACCACCTTAGTCACAACAATATCAATAAACAGTATTTGTTATACTTATAAATGTTTTAAATTACACTTCTAATTATAATTATTATTACTAGTATTACTATAGTATTAATTTTTATAAGAATTGAATACAATTGACTATAAACATTAATTGAATATAATACAAAAAAATTAATATAGAAAAATGGTTAAAGTCAAAAATTGCAAGTTTTCAGGATAACAAAAAAAAATTAAAAGCTTTAATTTAAATAAGCAATAAAGTATTAAACCAATACCATCAATATACAGTAAACTTTATTTAACAATTTATTGTATTAATCAACGCATTTATTTATTTAAATTATAAGTAAAAACTCAGTTAAAATTAATATAAAGAATTAATAACAAAAGAATTTATATAAATATTAATTTAATAACTAATTAATGTATAAATATAAGTTGTTCCAATACATGTACTTTAGGAAATCTTAGCTTCTCTTTGACACGACTTACGTCGCAAAAATGTGGTCGACACTGGTTTTGATGGTAGAGACCCGTGGGCCGTTTATTAAATGAGCGACAACAGATTATTTTAACAAAAATAAAACAAACCGAAAAGATAAACACAGTAATAATAATCTTCGCATAATATCGCGGCACTTTCGCTGGCGTCGACGACGCGATGTTCGGCGTAATCCTTGGACGGCAAAATGGTTAGCAGCGTTGTAGGCGACGGTGCGCGGGTGCGGTTCGGCTGTCGACGTTGTCGCTTTCACAGCGGGAGNGCGACGGCGCGCGAGTGCGGATCGAATCGTAGACGTTGTCACTTTGACAACGGGAAGAAGACTACGGTATCATTTGCGGCGGGTCGTCGTCGGCCGTGCGGCATTTGCTGGACTTTGCACCGTAGCGTATAACACGCGGTGTTGGTCAGTCAAATACTCATAGTAGGGCGACGGCTGATAAAGGTGGCACGAGTCGCGGGGCAATGTGTATAACGAAGCGACGCGGGCCGTGTCATCTTTGAAATCATAAAAAAAATATTTTTTTGATTTTTTCAAGTTTTCAATATGGTCTTCGACCATTTGAATTGTAGATCCAACAAAAATAACGGATTCTTGTGAATCTCGAATAGTGAATTTTATAGTTGTTTTCTGATTTGTTTTTGGGCCAATCTAAACAAGTTTATTAGTTGATACAAAATACCCATGCAGCACCCAAATAATAGCAGCATCTCTTCCGTCTAAAAAATAAATACAATGTAACGTAAATGTTGATAAAACTACACATCAAATTTTTCTTTTTACTCTTACTTTCAGATATTTGATTGTTCATTTTGATAGTTTCAATAAGTTTTCTTATATTTTTGTCTTTAACGTTAAAATTATAAGAAAAGAATAACAACAATTTACTAATATTTTTTTCCCAATTTTCTAGAAGGTCGCTTTTTTTTTCAAAAGCAGCCTCAAATCAATCTGAAAATTTAAAAATAATAAATTCTTGTTCACTTGATGAATAAAATGTTCAAACTTACTAAACGTTAACCATTTGCTGTTTTATATGCTGGCCATTTATCAAAGATGTCTTTTGTTGTGTATTTTTTTATAAAATCAAGGCGTGAATTAAAGCATGCCTGCCATGTTCGGTCAAATTCCTCATTGCTTAAATTGTCATATTTTAATATTTTTATATAGTTCTCTGAATTTATCTCTGGTTCTAAAAAGTATTATTTAAAAGTTTTACAACTTCAACTTTATCTATTCCAGAAATAAAGTATTATTTATATTAATATAAATATTACAATTGCAATATACCTGAGCATTTTGAATGTCTACTTAACTTTTCAGATTTGACAAGTGATTTCTTGTCTGTCGTTTTAAGAGGTCCAGATACAACTTTAAATGACGTTGCTAAATTGTAATACTTATTATAGATTTTATCCCGTTTAGAAGTTCTATAATACTCCTAAAAAATTAATTATATGTGAGTTAACAAACTTCATTACTGCCTAGAAATATTATTATATTAGTAAATATTAGTAAAACATAATGTTTTAAGATAATAATTATTATTATCTTAAAACAAAAAAACTAAAATTAACATAATAGATTTTTTTTTGAAAAATTTTGATTTGCATTTTCTTAAAACAATTATTATTAAAACAATGTTTAAACATGATTATTTTTATTTTATTTTTTGTTATTAAGTGATTATTAGTTGAATAAAAATTGTATATTACCAGTTTCTCAGATGGGAATCTTTCCAAAATTTGTTGTTCTAACTGATAGCTAATAGCTAGGGTCATTTTTACACATTTTTCTTCGAAGTATTGTGCTATCAAATTAATAAGAAGAGTTCTTTGTTCATCTTGGAAATTTGAAAACTTGGAGTAGTATTCAACTAATATCTTCTCTCTAGATGTTTCATTCAAAACATTGCTTAGCATGATTATATTTGAATTATCAGGACTGAGAGAAGATCTTTCATATGGAGTGAATCTTGATGGTGTTTTTGAAGTTGAGACTTGAGTTGATGTGAATAAGCATGGTGATGAGCAACTACTTGGAACTGCATCTAATGACATTCCAATCGATTCACGCCATTCTTCTAGCTTGCGCTCAAATAATATTTGTGTACTCAAATCAAAACAATCCCAGCTGAATCAGGACTAGGAATGTCATAATTTTGGACTAAACGCATTATTTCTTCATTTTCAGAGCATAAATTATGAGTAATTGGTTTTGTGCTCTACAAAATCTACAAAAATAATTACTGGCGAATGATTTGATGAAGTTCAGAAAAAAATTAAGCCCTAGATTATCACCCACGACTAAACCTAGGATAAAGTGTATTTTTAAAAATTCATTATTTCCATTATTATATTATTATATTTAGCCCAGTTATTTCTAAATCTTTTAATTCTTTGATAAAATATTCGGAACATTCGTCGTTACCAAATTATTTTACATCAAAGGATTTTTCGCTGCAGTGTAAAATACATTTTCCATTTTCGATTGTTCTAAAGGTAAACAAGGAAACGAGTAGTATAAATTGCAAATAGAATGTTTTAAAGAATTAGAACCAAGCGGATTGTTAATCTCAAAATCATCGAGGTACAGAATGTACGGTACTCAATTTTTTCCTGGGTATAATTTTTTTTCTTTCCATAGCTCACCTGTACAAAATTGGTAATTTTAATATTATTTTGTTCTGAAGTATTGATCTGTTCTAATATTGGTTCGATCAAATGATTTTTTTCTAAGAAATTCATAAATTAAAATTTTAATGGCATAACAATGCCTTTTGTTATCATTTGTTTATTTTCCAATTTTCCTGCTCGATGAGCAGGCAGTATTTGTTCATTTAATGTTACTTTTGTAAAATTATCTACATAACCTTCATTTTTTAAGAAATTATACATTTTATAATCCGAATTAAAAAGTTTAAAAGGATTACGCAAAATTTACACCATACTATAAAATTCATTAATTAAATTGAGATTTTCATTTTCAATGAATTTAATTTCAATTTTATGTTAACAAAATCTATTAACGTATCTAAAATAGGGTTTATTATTCAATCATTCAAGTGCTTTTGAATTTCTAGCACAACTTATCTCGAAAAATTATTATTATTACGTAAGAACAGAGAAATTCCAAAGCTAGGTCATTATTATTTTTTAAATGTTTAGCACAATCAAATTTTTTTGTTGTTATGCCCATTGCATTAGATTTTAAAGTGTGAGGTAAGTTTTCCGACTGTGTGTTACATTGAGAAATATCCGATACATTTGAAGAAGTTAAAGACGTTGAAGGGACGTTAAAATTAACAGGATAGCAATTGCTGTTTTGTGTTGGTTCTAAAACAATATTATTGCTACTAAGAGAACTATTTGGATTATTTTGATGATGTCTCATGACATGTCTCCTAAATCTTGTTAATAGAGTAAAACTTTTGCCAAAATCATTGCATCTAACGAATGAATAATTATTCAACTTGTGCGAATTTTTTAAATGAACTATTATATTTTCAATATGGTCAAAAGACGATTTACACATGAAACATATCATTTTAATGACAGTAGAGAATATTGACGAATGAATTCTTCGGAAGTTTAAAAAATAGTTGAATAAATATAACAAAAAATCAATTTAATTTAAATATTATTTAAAATATAATAACGTCACTTACCTTGTTTTTTAAGTAAGTTCGCCTAAAAATTTGAATTTGTTCTTTATTTTTTAACACCGCACAGTTGTGTATTCCAACAGGTAACAGGTCAAATGTAATGCTAGCTAATGTGTTGATACACTGTTAGTTTAGTTTTGTATAAATGACAAGCGTATTTTCCAAATGATATTTTGGACAAATGAACAATTGATATTGTTGTATCAATGAACTCTTTATTAATATAAAAAAAATATGTAATCGATACAATATTGATAAAAAGTCTTCTTAACTATTATAAAAAGGTTCGTAATATAAATTAACACAGTTGTAATATTAACGAACAATTGTTTTTAACATGAATGTTAATCATAAATGTTTTCTTTTTAATAAAAACCGTGTTCATAAAATCAATAAATACAGTTATTCATATAACGAACACAATAATTGATACAACGAAACTCTACGTAATATCAATAATTTTTGTTCATTAATCTTACGAATGACTGATTTGTAATATTAATGAACACAATTTTTAATATAACGAACTTTTTAAAAAAGTGTCGTTGTTATATTGATAAACGTGAGTTCGTAATATTAATAATCACCTGTTCGTAAAATCAATAAACTTGATCATTTTTGGTCAATAAACGCTGTTTATTAATATTATAAACGACTATTTTTTTCAGTGTAAATAATAGGTATTATTCCTGTTTTTATTTGAATTAGAGCAAGTCATTAGAGCGTTAACAATTTTCATGGAAAAATGCATACACATATATTTAGTGTGAATAGATTGTGTTTACATCTGTCCTTTATTTATAAAACATAGCCAGCGTTTGATACTGTAGAATAAAAATAGAAAAATTCTTATTGGTACACCAAATATTAATGTAACTGAATTTATCCGACTGCTACTTTATTTGTTAAATGCCCTATATTTTAAACAGCCACATCTCTTTTAGAATTTATTAAAATTGGTCTTTTTTTGAGAATTTTTTTTATGTAAAACACGTTAAAAAAATTGGTTTGCTAATTTACAAACTAAAGTTAATATCGATTTAAAGTTAAGGGATGAAGATAAAATCATCATATTTAAATCATTAAGTCAAATATCTCAACAAAGATTTATAACAAATAAAATAATTAATATATATGATAAAACTAATATTTTTTGGATGAAACTTGAATCCAACCCCAACAGACTAATTCAAATGCTGAGCGCAAACGCCTTGCCTGGCAATCCAGTAAGGCGTCTTAAGAGAGAATGGTGCAGAGACCTATTAACTTTATAAATTATTTAATCTTGTTAACGTTACGTAATTAAAACCCCTAATTATTGTACAAACTACTTTACCATTATATATTATTATTATTATTGTTAATATTATGTAATTAAATTAAATATAAATTTTCAATAGCAGGCGACTCCAATGGGAGCGACCTCACAGGCTACTGATGTTAAGTATTTTATATATGTATATTTTCTAAACTATTTACTTATTGTAAAATTTTTTTTTTGCAGATTGTAAATTTCATAAATAAAAGAAAAAAAAACTAATATTTTTAAAGATAATACGTGACTCATATTTAATCAATCACTTTATATATATATTTTAATTAAAAATAATAAACTATTTTTAAATAATTTATGCAAAAAAAATATGTTTTTTTAACATACAGTTGAGCAGCTCAGCTTGAGCATAATCTATAAAGTTAACTTACGTTTATATACATTTTATTACACATGATTAGTGTGTAATGAAATGTATATATATATCATTACCGAAAAATATCTTACACGAAAAATATTAAAGTATTTAGGAANGATGAAACTTGAATCCAACCCCAACAGACTAATTCAAATGCTGAGCGCAAACGCCTTGCCTGGCAATCCAGTAAGGCGTCTTAAGAGAGAATGGTGCAGAGACCTATTAACTTTATAAATTATTTAATCTTGTTAACGTTACGTAATTAAAACCCCTAATTATTGTACAAACTACTTTACCATTATATATTATTATTATTATTGTTAATATTATGTAATTAAATTAAATATAAATTTTCAATAGCAGGCGACTCCAATGGGAGCGACCTCACAGGCTACTGATGTTAAGTATTTTATATATGTATATTTTCTAAACTATTTACTTATTGTAAAATTTTTTTTTTGCAGATTGTAAATTTCATAAATAAAAGAAAAAAAAACTAATATTTTTAAAGATAATACGTGACTCATATTTAATCAATCACTTTATATATATATTTTAATTAAAAATAATAAACTATTTTTAAATAATTTATGCAAAAAAAATATGTTTTTTTAACATACAGTTGAGCAGCTCAGCTTGAGCATAATCTATAAAGTTAACTTACGTTTATATACATTTTATTACACATGATTAGTGTGTAATGAAATGTATATATATATCATTACCGAAAAATATCTTACACGAAAAATATTAAAGTATTTAGGAATTATTAAAAAACTAAATAAAATATAATATTTAAATATTTATATAATTATTAAAATATAATTTTATTTTTATTATACCTAAAAAAATATAGAATAAATGTATTAATTAAGATATTTTTTTTAATTTAAGCTGTTAATATTTTCTAAACAATTTTTAGAAAAAAAATCAATTTAGCATATTGGAAGTTTTTTATATAAAGTATAACACAGTCTAGTGTTTTAATTTTCAGCATAAAGGTTTAACAAGTCGTTTGCAACATAATTTACCAGAGAATTTAATTTGTATAGCTGTATTTGATCAGTTTTACTTAACAACAGTTTCAGAGTACACTTTTTATCTTCATCATCATCTATTACCTCTGGTAGTTGTACCAAAAATGCACATTTCTTATAATACCTGTTGAAACTAGCACAGCATATCAAAAATGCAAGTTTTTCTTCATTCCCTTTTGAAGATTGGTTATATTTATTAAAAAGTGAAATTGTCTTATCAATCGGTTCTCTACGTAAACCATAAATTTCAAATTTTTTTAATAAAAGATTAAAAATAGTTAAGGCATCATTAAAATAATCATTTAACTCCTTGTTTTCACTCTCTATTTTAGATACCAGCATTGAAGTGGTTGAATTATATATTGTCAGTATTGTAATTCCTATGCTTTCAATAACATTTCTAAGCCAAATCATAGCTTCGATTGGATCGTTACGTTCAATTATAGCTTCATTGGTAATGTCAAATAAAGTTCTATCAACAACCTGCGTATGGTATGATAAACGAGGCATTGAACCTTTATATGGTTCATTCAAAGGTACAAGATCATCAATATCGTCATTAAGGTAGTATTCATCTAATTTGTTGACTGTCATTTCAGGATCTGTATAAACAGTACCATATCTTATTTTAAAAGATAACAAACCTTCGTGTTTATTTATATGTTCATATGCGACATCACGAGTTATTTTTGTCAAATCATATTTTTCGCACGTACAAATTTTATTTAAAACAATTAAAAACGATGCATAACTAAATAAAATCATTTTGAAAAAAAATTGTAAAAAATCTAATGTCGATGTAGAGAAAAAGTTATAAAAGCGTACTTTTTAACATACGTGGCTTTTTTATATTATAAAAATATTGTAAAATAATTGAAGTAATAATAAACTTTAACATATTTTTGAAATCCAATAAATTATTTTAAACTTTTCTATAATTAAATATACTATTAATACATTTTTCATTATTTAAATGCAACAAATATTAGTTTGTATTTGAGTTCAAAAATGACTAATTTATAATATAATTATGTATTATAACATATTATGTCTTTAATTTATACATAAAATATTATTTCTTACAATTGAAAAAAAAAGTTACCCCATTGTGCAATATTTTGTTCTACAAACATTTCTGAGCAGTTTTTTTGGAAAAAATATAACAAATTACGTTCCATAAGAGTATGAAAACCGTCCTTGGGACCGTATTTTTAAAGCAATGTTTATACTTATAAAACATTCGATAAACTTTTCTTTGTAAAATATCTACAATAATCAAACATGATATTCCATTCATATTACAAAAACAACGTCTACAAAACTTTACCAATGAGATGTTTAAATTTTGAAGTTGTAACAAAAATAAAATGTAGCTTCTTTCAAATCTTGTAACTTTAAATTTTGTATGCATTTTTAGCTTATATGATAAAACTTATTCAACTAATTGATTAATCAGATTTGTAGAAAAATTGTAGTACCAATATCTCATTTCTGCCATAAGTGGTGCTTACACTTATTACCTATTAAGGCTCGATATTGTAAAAAAACTATAACATTGTTGATTTTATATTTCAAGCAGTATACGCTATCTGTGTAATAAATTTTATTAATGTATATAAAGAATAATGTGTAATTAACAACCACTAGATAGCGTTTAGTATTCCACATTAAGTAAAATATTAAATTATGCAATTTGATTAGATTGTTTGATGATGTAGGACTTAATAGACACGTTTGAAGGAAGGCGTGAAAAGTGTTCCCCTACAACTATTTTATCGTTTTAGACGACAAAAATTTTACAATATATGACGTTTAGTTGGCATAAATAAAAAATTATGATCATTTAAATTTATTAAATTAAGTTAGAACTCTAATACATTTTTTGTTAAGATAATTAGTGGTTAATAAAAAATATCGATTGGAGTAATGTTTATTGTTTAACTGATATATTAAAAATTATCAAGAATATTATTATTACAATTTATCAGTCATCTATATTAAAATTTGTGCACCTTTAGATTTAGTATATGCATACAATTTTTATCTTCTCGGAATCAAAAAATTATTATATTTAAAACAAGTGTCTGGTAATAATAATATTATATTGTTCTTGGTATATGAGGATTAAACGAGCTTATATTATTAGTTTGTTTAATCCTCATATTTTGGCATTTTTACCAATTATAAAAAACCTGTCATGTTACAGGTTTTATACTAGTTTTGCTTTGAAAAGTAGCGTCTCAAACGTACTCATCAATCATGTCAACTAAGGCATCACAATCACATTTGCAAACAAACGCGTACACATCTACTCTTGACACCTGCTACATACATATAAGAACACACGGTGTTATTATAATATCTGTGATTGTATGTATGTACAGTTTCTCTTAACATATCGTTAATCACTGTGAGTGATTCACAAATGGATTTAT